CCTCCGAGTTCTAGTGGGAAGACGTGACAGTTCAACCTGTTTGGGTGTAGACAGTAACTACCGAAGACTGTGTATGAGGTTGCACAACTTCGTGAATTGATCAAGTTAGACATTAACACTGTTAGATACCGGCTCAGTGATCCGATGGTTAGGCGTTCGACTACAATACCGGAGGTCCTGGTTACGAACCCTGAGATGTGTAGGAGTCGTGGATGCGCACTGCTGAGGAGTCCCATACCAGGACGAAACGGCCGTCCAGTGATTCCAGGTTTCTAATGGTGGTCTAACATTGATCGATTCATGGTTTCAAAAATGTGTAACATAAAAATTAAACTACGAATAAAGAAAGTGCATTATCAGCTGCTTCAAAATACGACTCTCTTAATAAAGACAAAATTTATCAACAGTATTACTTAGGAATTTTTACAAATTAGTAAAATGTCACAATTAATTCAAGAAATCTAAAAGCATTGCAGTGAAAATTATGAACTATTGATTTTCTAACTCAATGGATTGAAATTTAAACATTCAGTGAATTTTTTCGAATTCGATTCAAGGTGACGACACCATGACTGACCACGGTTAGGGTTTCATACTGAGATGAAATACCTATGCTTAGCTAATTTTATTTGGTTCACGACGTCATGTATACAAAATTAGCGTAGTTATTTAATTTTTCACTTGTAAACCAATTAACCATTTGAAAATCCCACATAAACACAAAACGTGTGGATGTTCGAAATGTAAATGAAAAGTTGAGTTTTATAACAACTGTATGAAATATTATTATTATTATTATTGTTATTTTATTTCTCTTGTTACCCACCATGAAGAAAAGGCAACCGACCACATTCTCCTGCCTACTCTGTCCTAGATTCTCCTTCCTAGTTCTGTCCACTTATTGTTCATTCTTCTTATGTCTGCTTCCAGTTCTCAGTGTTATGTGTTTCTTTTCGCCTACCTCTCTTTTTTTGACCTTGAGTATTTAAAGTGAGAATTTGTCTTGTGTCGCAGTTGAATGTTTCCTTCAATGCGTGGCCTGTCCATTTCTATCACTTCTTCCTGAATTCTCCCTCAGCTGGAATCTGGGTTGTACAGCAGGTTATTGCTGATAGTGTCTGGCCAACGGAACCAACGTATTTTGCGTAGACAACTGGTAATGAATACGTGAACCTTCCGGATGATGGCTTTCATAGTTCTCCAAGTTTCCGCTCCATATAGGAGAACTATCTTGACATTTGAAAATTCTGAATTGGTGGTGTTTTATGACTGTTGTTTTGAGTTCCTGGTGTTGTTCCATTGTAGAAATGCAGCCCTTGCTTTGCCAATCTGCGCCTTTACATCTGGATCAGATGGACGCATCCAGTACTTTATTTCAGATTGATGTTATCGACCTATTTATCAACTTGTTGTAATCACTGTCACTTGATTACTGCTACATCATTTCTTTAAATATTTTTCACATGGAAAATTATCTTTCACACTGGTACTTAAAATCAAAACGTGTAGGAAAACTGATACTGTCTAGCCGAACGATCTAAATTTTCTTGCGTATTCAACCGGTCACAAACACTTGTGACTAACCGATGATGTCTTTGGTGGTTCTCCAAAAATCCGCCGCATACAGTAGAAGTGTCTTGATGTTTGTATTGAAATTTATGACTTTAGTGCTAATTGATGTTTATTTTGAGTTTCAGATACTCATCAATCTTCGAAATACTGGTCTTCTTTTGCCTATCTGCGCATTCACATCTACATTAGACCCATCATGCTCATCAATGATGCGGCCCAGATATGTATAGGTTCTTACATTTTCCATTAAATTTCCATGTATTGCGAATTGGTTGGTGCAAGTTGTGTTATATCAGAGGATCTAACTTGTTCCGTTGTGTATGTTGATACCTACTGCTTCTACTGCCCTGGTCGTCTTTTCCTGCATTTCGTTTTGGATGTGGGATAGAAGTGCTAGGTTTTTTTCTGCGAAGTCCAAATCGTCCAGCTGGATTCGAGCTATCCACTGTATTCTGTGCTTTCCCTCAGATGTTGACATCTTCCTAATCCAGTCGACCACCAGGTGAAAGAGAAAACAGCTGAGAGTAAGCACCGTCTTGTCACTGATATTGAAAATTGTAACTTTGCTGTTAGTTGATATTTATTTTGAGTTTCAGATGATCTTCAGCTGTAGAAATTCTCTTTCTATAAATAAATGTTGTTTTATTTTATGATAGAATATAATGTAGGTATGAAATATGCATAACATTTCATTTTAGGAACAATCTTTAATCGATTCACTTTTAGTATACTCCTGTGTGGTTGTCTTGTTTTCATCTGACATATATTTCTCACAGACATTTCTAATATGGAAGTTGAGAAAAAGTGTGTGAGATTTAACAGTGTATTTATAATGAGTAAACAAAGCCCCATTACATATCGTGTACTACTTAAATATACAGATGTAGTGAACGAGAACACAGGTGGGGCAACCGAATTGAATTTAACGAAAATTATAGAGTCACTCAGTAAAATAGGAAAACCATATCGTAAATGGTCAATTTGCAAAATATCAGTTCATCATATCGAACTGGATTGTTCCTGTTGCAAAAAGATCAATCCATTGTCACTATTCATGCGTTTCATACAAATTCCATTGTGTTCTAACTGTTCCTTTCTTGATCTTCCCCCATCTTCTGCTGCTAGACATTACGTTGACGCTCACGTCATATACTACTTATAAGTAGCTCGCACCACACAGACACTTTGAAAATGTAACGTAACGTAACAGCGTTATATGCTTTTTAGAGTGAAAGATGTCATATCTTCGCTATGAGAGGGAAAAAGTTTATTTGTAATAGACTTGTTAATTCTCCCAGTTTTTCTTCCCCTCCTACATTAGGACTGTCTTGACATACATACTGAAAATCATGGCTTCGGTTTTGGCTGATAGTTGTTTTGAGGGCCAGATGTTGTTGGATTGTAGAGATTTTTTTTCCTTGCCTTACCAATCCACATCTTGACATCTGCATCAGATCCATCTGTAGTGAAGGAGAATACAGGTGAGGGCAACCGAATTGTATTTAACTAAAATTACAGAGTTACTCAGTAAAATAGGAAAACCATATCGTAAATCGTTAATTTGCAAATCTTCAATCAATCATCAATCCATTGTCTGACATTTCACTATTCATGCGTTTCATACAAATTCCATTGTGTTCCCACTGTTCCTTTCTTGATCTTCCCCCATCTTCTGCTGCCAGACATTACGTTCACACTCACGTCATATACTACTTATAAGTAGCGCGCACCACACATCGTGCTCATCAATGATGCTGTTCAGATATGTAAAGGCGTTTACATCCTCCAAAGTTTCTACGTCAAGTGTAATTTGGTGTGTGCAAGTTGTGTTGTATCGCAGGATCTTGCTTGTTCCCTTGTGTAATGTTGAGTCCTACAACCACAGAGGCTGCTAAAGCCCTGGTAGTCTTTTCCTGCATTTGTTCTTGAATTTGAGATAGTAGATCCAAGCAATCTGCAAAGTCTAGATCGTCCAGCTGCATCCAAGCTATCAGCTGTATTCCATGCCTCTCCTCACATTTTGTTATCTTCCTAATCCAGTCGGCGACCAGAGGAACGAGAAAAAAGCTGATCTGAAATAATCATCATAATATTGTTTCTTGTAAATCAAATCATTCATTTCACACGCACACATTTTGTCAAAAAATAAAATTAAATCATCACTCTTATTTTTAATATGATGCCTAACTAATTTCACATCTGAAAAATCATTTTATTTTACAGGTGTAAATTTAAGCATAATGACAGCTTGCAAACTCCGTTTCATGAAAGTGTACTACTTTGTATGTACACATTGACTTTAAGTGTATATGTATATATACACTGTATTAAAAAACACTGTAATAGGTGACATTACCTAAGTAAGCATTGTAAAAGTTGTTCTGTTTTTTATTTTCAAACTTAGTAATGGATACAAGGCTTAGTGATAAAAATTTGTGCCAACGCATAAATGCACATTGTCAAGAGAACAAAAAAATAAGGGAAGTTCCATTTATTATTGTATCGGACAATCTATGATTGGTTTTCCAATTTGATAGAAATGTGAAATAATAATAATCACGTTTTAAAGAAAAGCTAAAAGCTACAACAACAACACCAGTAATCATCTATATTCAACTAAATGCACATTTGTGTGTGTGCAACACAGTGTAACTATTCAATAAATAGGGTGTTTTCATTAAAAATGTGTGCAATCATTTTTGTGTTGTGCAAGAAGTGGTGTACATGCTTCCTTATACTGTCTGTCTGTCTGTAATATAATGATGAGGTTTGTGTGTGTGTGTGTACATTTATACACATCAATTAGAGAAGTGCTGTGTATGTACACGGACAAGCAGATCTACACAATAGGCCCAATTTAAAACGTACAAACGTTGGATCAAATTAATATCTCTCTCTCGATATACATATATATATATCCACATGTTACAAATGGAAAATAGAATACTACTACTACTACTAGCAATAGTAATAATAGTAGTAATCGTGAATGAAGTAACCGTATCCTGTGATTGGTAAACCAGATTTCGGATCAGTTGAATTTTAATACATATATACACTTTGTGCATTTATTATAATCTATAAGTGAATACACATGTGTACTTGAAATTTCACAGAAAAAAATTACCCCTATTACATATTTTTATACATATATATATATATGTAGATGTATATTAAAAACGTTTATTGAAATATTGAAAATTGAAAATTCTCTTTACCGAAAATGATCTTTTCTCTTATTCAATTTAATATGTTTCAAACACAAATGCTAAAAATAATAATCATAACAATGAGAATATATTTCTCATAATTTGAAAAGAATATTTCTTAAATTTCTTCTTTTTTAATTTCTAGAACAAAACATACATTGTACATTGAATATAACAATTTAAACAAAAATCTTTCAGTTTCAAATAAACAATTACATCATGAATTTATCAACTATCAATGTAACTCATTCCATAGAATCATTATCTTCATCAAGTTCACCGGAACTATTCAATACCAGCAGTACAATGATCTCGACTAATCATCCTACTATCAATTCAAATGTCCTACCGTCTACAATACAAATGAATACTAGCTTAAATGAGAATGAATTTAAATCATCCGCCAACACATCTTCTTCATCATCATCATCGTCATCATCAATATTATCAAATTCAATGTCAAATGGAATGTTATCAATGAATCATTTCACTAATTCACTATTATTGCCTACATTTTCATCGAATATTTTATTACATGAATCATTGAATTTAATTTATCATACTTGTTTAAATATGTTTGATAAACGATTCAATGAAGCATTGAATATTGTACATCAAAAATATGAATTATTACTTAGCGAATATAATGAAACACAATTTCGTTTAAATAAATTAGAACAAATTTTACAATTATTATTAGAAGAAAAATATAATTTGTTCAATGTTCCATTAATGTTAAATTATTTACATTCAATGCCAAATTCTTGGAAATTACCACAACACCCTGAATCCAATGATTTTCACAATAATAATAATAATACTGTTTTTAAAAATATCCACTCAAAATGGTTAGATCATTTGAAAGATTATGAAATGGAGGCGAATTCATTAAATGGTACACATCAGAATTTCGCAATGTCCAATCCAGTGTCAACTACATCAAATGACCATCATTCACCGCAACAAACTCATCACAATTTAGAAAAACCGCCATCACAAAAATTGAACATGACAAATAAAAGTAAAGAATTTTCTGTAAATAATCTATCAAGCTCATCAATGCATTCGACGTTAATCAATACTGATCATGTTATTCAACAAAACAATATGTTCAATGAATCATTTGTCAATCGATTACATCATCATTTCAGTGGTAATCTAGATCCGGTATCATCATCATCATCATCATCAGCCTCGTCAGCATTGACAACACATAATCAACATTTTTTGTGGAATCAATGGATGGCAAATATGATGGCTTCTAATAATTGTATAAATTCTGCTAATGGATTATTACCGCCCTCATCAACATCATCGTCATCAACAACAACACATTTAACATTGAATAATTCAGAAAGAATTGACAATTTAACCAATGCAACTATGGAATCTATGGAAGGAAATCAAGTAAGTTATGAGAAATGAATAATTTGTTTTTGCTTGAAATTATTATCAAGCATTTGCATGATTAAAAAATTGTTCATTTTAACAAGGTTTTGTTTTAATCAAACAAACTATTGAAATGAGAGGCAGATTTGATATTAAAATTTGTATGTTTATTTAGGTAAAATAAAAGAAAGCATCACACACTACTCATGAATGTTTTCAAAATGTTTGTGTGTGTGCGTGCTTGTTTAAATTAGCATAATATTTTATTGTTTTTCTTCTGTTCTGTAAATTATATTTGTCAGCTAAATATCAATGTGTTCAATGCTTTGAATTTAACATTTTGTTTAAATGAGTTAACTGGTTGATTGTTAAAATAACTGAATGAATCAGTTCGATATGCTGATGGCATTAATTTTATTGAAATGTCTGAGTATAGTTAACTTCAAGAAGTTTCTTAAACTCATAGGGAAATTTGATTTTGAGCGCCTTTTTTCTAAAATTTAAAATTCAAGTACCAATATTTATAGATTTCATCACAAGTCTGACTATTTGTTAGTCACATTTTTAAAATTATCTTGTGGCCTATAATTTACCTACATCTATCTTAACAATTTCATAATTTCTAGAAATATTTACTGTCTAGCCATAGCTACACTACTGCCTTCATTTCGCGCCAAACAAAAACATTACTTTTTTTTGTCAATGGTTTTCATTACAAACGATTTTGAAAAAGAATTAGGCTTCAATTTACTTTTGTGAACAAAATAATCCGTTATTGTTTGTTGTTACCGTTTAAATAATGTATATGAGTAGTAATTCGTATTATTCGAAAAGCGGCATTTTCAAGCTCTAAATGCTTGATTAAGAAAAATGTTAGGTTGGTTGGTCCTTGGGTACAAATAATTTGACTATTAGAATAAACTATAAGTTTTATTAAACGACATTTCTAACTGGGTTACTTTGATAACTTTGTTATATTTTACAATTCCACTTACGAAATCAAGGCTCCAAAGGTTTATTGAAAATTCCAAAGATACGTATTGTGCTAAAGATCATTTAGTCAGTTATAACGTAAAACTTCGTACGTACGAACATGTTGCCATATCACATTAGCATAGAGACGCAATTGTCAATTCAAATCCCATAGTGGTAGAAATAGTAGAAGTATGAGCTATAATGGAGAAGATTAAAGTTGGAAGATTTTATTCGAGAAGTATAATTCAGTGAAATAAACTTAAAAACAGAAGCATAGAGATGGTGAGGAATTCAGAAGATTAGAATTTCAAAGAACACAATGAGTCGAGTCATCTGCGCCATCGCAAACTATTTTGAGCCATGTCATTCAAGATCTCTAACCATGAGTTAAGTTGATAACTTATTGGAAAAATTTAACAAACTTGCTATTCCACAGGTTAGGTGGATTTTTAAAAATAGTGTTTTCTCTATGGTATTGTCAACATTTATGATATCATTGTAATTATTGGATGAATGCTCTATGTTAGTATGGAATTCGGTCATAATAAATTATCGACAGTTAACCCCATAAGGAATGAACCTTGTACATAGAAGAGAACATTCAACGTTAAAATCAGTAAGATGAAACTCAGGGATTGATATCTCTTGCAGTGCGTGTACTTTTATGTCGAGGCCACAAAGCTTGACCAACCTCTAGACAATTTAATCAATTTCTTGTTCCCAAGTTATTATTCACTTACCTCATGACCTTATCAATCATTCGTTCATATCTTGGTTGCTTTTGTTTTGAGTAAGTGTGCACATTTACTTTGCTCGTCAGATGTCTAGTTTATCTGACTATAAATATTTAGTCAGACTTCATCTTTTTGAGTTAGCTCGCTCCGCTTCTTTACTATGCTTCGCTTTGCTTTAACGCTTTGTGTTCCCATATCGCTTGAAACAAACTCAAACAAACTTAAAACCGTATTTAGCTTCTAATTACGGTCATCGCACAAACGAGGTTCGCCTAAGTATGATAGATAGAAACTGAAGGGGAGACTTATATCATAGCATACTCGACTATTCGTAAATACGTAGTCATATCGCGGGCCACTGAAATGATGAACCCTACTTCAAATCAATGTTAATTTCAGACAGCTATTGTATTACACTACATTTTCATCCTTTCTCAAATAAATACTATATGATACATGTACTAATTCTCACATTCTGTTCATATAAAATTCTTCTTAATGCCTGAGAATATTTTTCTGATAAAGCTTATCATACTATTTTTTTAAAATCAATTGTTTGATGAATGAACATTAAAACAAATTCAATAAATTGTGTACATTTTTCAATAAAATGTCAAACATTCATTAGATTAATCATACAATAATTTCACCAAAAATAAATTCTAATCTTATCACACATTAAGTGAATAGCAAACTTATGTAATTCGTAATATTTAATAAATTATCAACATTTTGTAAAATAGTTTGTGAAATTAATATTTGACTAGTTATTCAACTATTTGATGTCTAGCTTTGATTCTCAGTTCAATGTGTTTTTTGGCGAATCGACCGTTTTTTCCCACCTTAAGGATTCAAAGTATGTGCTTGCTTTGTGATACAGTTTGATGACTGCTGTAGTGTGTATCCTATCCACCTCTAACGTCTTCTTCTAATTTCCTATTCAACTAGAAGTTGGTATTTGCTCACTGTTACAGTAAGGAGTTGGTGATAGTGTCTGATCAATGAATATATGTAATATTTTACATAGACAGCTATTTCCCAGTACACAATCCTTTGCCGATCATTGGTAAGGTAGTTCTTTAAATTTCAGCCCCATACAATAGAACTTTCTTGACGTTCGTATTAAAAAATTTTGATTGTGATCTTGGCTGACAATTGTTTTGAGTTATAGATACTTATATGATAACAATGATCGAAAAATATTTTTATCTAACTGTACAGTAATAATCAGTTTAGTTTGTAGGTTGTCTTCATCTCAGATTAATAACCACGACTATACTAAGGATCAGAGTTACGACCTTCAGGTCGCACAGTGAACGTTGAACTATCATTAGAAGCAGTGGATTGATATCCAATAGTACAATTCCAAATTAAATCAGTCTGAAACGTAATGCAACGATAACCCAGCACAATTGATAACAGCTGTTTTATTTTCAACGTACATGAAACTCATCAGTCACATACTAGGAATAAATAGGTGTTCCATGCTTTCAAGTCCTCAATGACATCACAACTAATCACATCACTCTTTCACAAATAAAGTCTTCTTATGGAATTAATTTCTAAGAAGTTCATTTGAAAAAAAGTTATAGATTTTATTGGAATTTATAAATTCAAAGTATGAACTATCGTTATTTTGTTTTCAATATACAATTTACTATGAACATATAAACAAATCATTTAAAAAATATCAGTGCCTTGATTCATTTTTAAAAGTGTAAAAATCAATAACTATTTTTTTTTAATACATTCAGTAAGACTTAAAATGTATCTGCTGATGATGATCAAATGGAATCTTACTATCGAATTTGAAATAAATCAAAATGCATACAATATAAATCTATTAATTTTAACTTAACTAAACAAATCAAATATTGAATTGTGAACAGACGATCGCTAAAGTCCATAAAACCCATAATTTTCTTTAAAAGTCTGTATACTAGCTTAACAATACCTTACTTACTTACTTAATTACGCCTGTTACCCATAGACCGCCCACCAGTTTTCTCCAACCAACTCTGTCCTCGGCTTCCTTCTCCAGTTCTGTCCAATGTTTGTTCATTCCTCTCATGTCTTTCTCTATTTCTCGGTGTAATGTATTCTTTGGCCTTCCTCTTTTCCTTTTGCCTTGAGGGTTCCATGTGAGGGCTTGTCTCGTGACGCAGTTAGGTGCTTTCCGCAATGTGTGTCCTATCCACTTCCACCGCTTCTTCCTCATTTTCTTCTCCACTTGAATCTGGTTTGTTTTCTCCCAGAGTAGGTTGGTGTCTGACCAACGAATCCAAAGTATTTTGCATAGACAACTGTTAATATACACTTGTATCTTATGGATGATGCCTTCTGTAGTTCTCCAAGTTTCCGCTTTATACAATAGAACTGTCTTCACATTAGTATCGAAAATCCTGATTTTGGTTTTGGTTGAAAGTTGTTTTAACAATACCTATCTATTACTTATTATCATGATCAATGTGAAATACGATTGTTGCATGACTGATTTATATTCAAAAACGACATCTGATTCCATGTCGATTATTTATTAATGTTTAGGTAACTCAATAAATATAACAGTTTACATACCATCTTAAATGACTTATCATGTCATAGGTTAACCCACAGATCATTCTCATGAATTTTTTTGCACTACTCAGTTAGCTAATTACAGATTTAATTATTTAAGCCGTACAAATACAAAATCGAACCAAGTATCATCTCCTTTTCCTACTAAATAAGCAACAAATTTCAATCAATAAACAGAAATCCCATAGTTTTCATTTTGTGAATTTCAATCATTATTGCATTATTATAAAACTTTTCTAATGCTGTGTTTTTGATATGCACATCTAAAATGATGTGAAACCCACTGATGATAGTGTCTTTTTCTTCGAACTTTTGAAAATTTTCTTAGAACCTATTGACTACATAACCTGAATTTGATGACGCGGTATATAGATACATGTCAGATAGAAATTTCTAGTTTAGTTTAAGACTGTAGAACCTTGAAATTAATTAGTTCTTAGTGGATCAGTCAATCATTTTGGTTAATTTTTTGAAATCAAATAGAATAACAACAAAGTCACAACATTTTATTACTGAAAAGCTTCAATATAAATTATTTTTAAACTTAAGCATAATTTTTCTTCAAAAAAAGCAACCATTTTGTAAGTAGTATATATATTCATTTCATAACTTTTCTGTGTACATACATATATTGAATGAGTTCAATTCATTAGCTTGTACTGAACAGTGAAAAGTAATAATAACGAAACTACTGATTTGTTTTACATTCTGTTATTACATTATTGCCATTTTTCATTATCGAAATATGAA